GCGTGCTACCACACCCGGCTGATTTTTTGATTTATTGTAGAGATGAGGTCTCGCCAAGTTGCCCAGGCAGATCTTGAACCCGCAGGCTCAGGCAGTCCACTCACCTCAGCCTCCCAAAGCATGGGATTACAGGTTGAGCCACCGAGCCCAGCTTGAAAGCTTTTAAACATTCCCCTTGATGGGGGAAGGTCGTTAAGGTGACTGGGTGGTGGTCTGCTCTGCATCATCATGAAGGGGCAGGTACTGATGTCAGGTGATGGAGGGCAGGCAGTAGGTAGGTTAGTCACGGATCGCTGCCATGGTGATGGGGTCTGTGCCACCAAGGTCATGAAGGGCTCATTAGGTTAACCTGAGTCTTGTGGGTGGAGGCAAATACTTGAAATAGAAAAGCTAATTAACACAAAACAAGCTGGGGAGGGGGTTGTAAACAATTATCAATAGCTACCTCTGAGAAATCTGTTCTGTCGTTGGCTAGTGATTAGAGAGGGTAAGTTAACTGCTAGAAAAACATGAGATTTAGGCAAAGTTAAAATGGCTGCTCACTGGGTGTATTAAATTCATGTTATGTCCTTTCACCCCTAAAAGTAGGCTTCCCTCTCCCGACCAAACCTCTCTGAAGGTGAATTACGCCTCCTGGGGAGGGGGGTCTGCAGCTCTAGGATCCTGGAGGAGGAGAACAGAGGTAAGTTTTGCCAATGAATTCCCTCCTACTGGGAAAGCTGAGCCGGCCAGCGCCTTTGCAGGGGAAGCAGGTGTCAGTATTGCCTTTCATTTCGCCACCTGGTGCTGCCTGGAAGATGCCCCACGCTGTTTCCCTCCGCCGACTTGGCCGGCGCTCAGCTCCGGGAAAGCCCTTCCCTCTCCACCTACTGCTGCCCTGATCTCAAAAATGCATTGATTCCCAGCCCCAAGTGGGAACCGTCCATCTGCACGGCGCTGGACCTGAGGCCGGCTGGCAGCACCAATGGGAGCAAAGGGGCTGGAGTCTTCCCAGCCCTGCTGAGCAAGAGAGGCCACCTGGTCAGAGGCCACAGACCCTGGGCCCCTGGAGCAAAGCACGGAGCACAGGAGGCATGGATCCGACAGCTGCCAAGGGCATGGGCACACGGTCCACCTTGGCGAGGTTACAGGACTGTGAGCATCACACAGGGGGCCTGGGATGCCCAGCTCTGCCACTTCCACCAAGCCACTCCACCCTGGATTTTTGTGGGCCCCATTCACAAAATGACATGCAGGTAGTTAGTGCTCTCACGGGGCTGCTGGGAAGATGGAAGGAAAAACATGCGTTGTTTTTGTTTGAGCTGGGGGTCTCACTTTCACCCAGGCTGGAGTGCAGTGGCATGATCATGGCTCACCACAGCCTCCACCTCCTGGGCTCAGGCGATCCTTCTGCCTCAGCCTTCTGAGAAGCTGGGACTGGAGGCATATGCCACCACACCAGCCCTTTTGTTTTGTTTTGTTTGTAGAGATGAGGTTTCGGACTCCTGGGCTCAAGTGACCCTCCTGCCATGGCCTGTTAAAGGTCACATTCACAGGGCACTGCGAATGGTGCTCTGAGTTGCCAGGCCAACTTGCAGACAGCTCTATCCAAATCTTGTGCCCCTGCGGAACATTCTGCCAGCTCCTTCCTCAAGGGCGTGCTGAGCTCCTGTTATCTGCTCGGCAGTGGCAGATCTCTGGAACTGCACCCAAGGTGAGCCCATTCATTAATTTCACGAGTACTTGTTGAGCAGAGTCTCATCACCCCGCTGAGTGCACTGGCTTGTGGGGAGACAGACGCATGACTGAGGAAGTGAGACAATCAGAGATGTCGCGCCCAGGAAAGTTTCTGGGAGTGCCACCAGGCCGGGCAGGCAGGAGAGAGCGGGTAGAGCTAGGAGGTTGGTGGGAAGCAAGTTCTCAGCAAGGAGGAAGTAGGTACCTGGCAAACTGTCCTAGGCTTCCGGGCTAGTCATCTCTCCCTGAAGGGCAGCAGAGCTCCCAGGCGGGCAACAGGCCAGTGTCCCCAAGTAGACAGGACACACATACATACAGGACACACATACACAGCCACACCTCAGAGCCAGAGAGGAAACACAGTCCGCAGGTAAAAATTATACTTTTATTTGAGTCACCAGGAGAAAGATTCACTTGTGGTTCAAGTCAAATGTTCAGAATCATAACAGGTCAGAGAGATTTGATCCCGAGCACAGGCCCACCAGGGAGGGGACCAAAACAGACTGAAATAAGACAACCCCATATAAAAAGATGAACGGTGGCTCCACACACGTGTACACACACACACACACACACACACACACACACACACACACACACACACACGGATGAAATGTCTGGACAGAGGCAAATTTCACACGGTCATTTCTGTTTCTTTTTAAATACAGGTTGTGGGGCGGTGTTTTGTTTTGTTTTCTTCCAGCTTTAAAAAAAGGCCCAAAAGTGCATATGTGAGGGGGGAAAGGCAGAAATGAAGCAATAGTTTTCCCTGGAGGGACACAAGGGGAGAAAACAGGAAGCAGTTTTGGGAGAATTCCCTTTCTCACCAGCAGGCTTCCTGCGTTTTTGTGATTGGTCCACAAGAGTTGAATTCACATTCCAGCTCTGACGGGGTCTTCTTTCCTGGGGCTCGATTGGCTGAAAGACCTCTGGAACTGTACAAAAGCCCAGAGACCCAGCCCAGCCCTCAGGGTCCTGTGCTCTCCTAGAGATGGGTGGTTGTGGTAAGGGACAGGGACGCCCAGCAGCCCTGGGTCCCTCAGCACCAGTGAGACGGTCCCTCCTCCCTCTGGGGGTAAGAAAAAGGCCCCTATTTTTAGGACGGGAGGAGCGAGATTCCAGGGACTGGCCCGCCTTGTTTGGGAAGGAAAATTCAGCAGAGTGACCACAGGCTGCTCCAGGCCCTCCTGGGGGCGGTGGCGCTCCACCCACCATCCCCACGCCCCTGGCCACAGGTCCCCCAGCTGGATGTGTTCCTGGCCTTTGGTCCCCAAACCCACATTGTGCTTTGAGATTGGGAGGCAGCCAACCGCATCAGCGCCTCCCCAGGGGCTCCCGACTGCTTCCCCAAGAGGTTCTGTGTCTTCCCAGTCTCCTAGTTGCCCAAGAGAAGACACCCCCCTCCCGCACCCAGGCTGGGGCCACAGGAAAAGGGCTCCGCCAGGCAGGGACTTTCCTCAACCTCTGATTTGGGACAGATACTCCTAAGTCAACCAAAAAGCAGTTGTCAAAAACACCCACGACAAGGACCTGACTGCTAAACAGGCCAACGCCTTCAGGCCCGTCCCCCTGGAGGGACCAGGTGTCCACCACCTGGTTGGACTCAGGGTGAAGATGGGAAGGGGAGAGCCTGATGAGTCAAGTCAGGCTGGGGTCGTCCCAGCCACCGCCGAGTCGAGGAGGAGCTTGGATATAGCACCGTCTCCCTCCTTGGCCTCTGCTTCCAGTTCTGCAGCCCTGGGACCCTCTCCCTTGCTTCAGGGGCTTCCTGGGAGTGAGGGGGACATCCAGAGGGGGACAGCCCAGGTGAGGCACCCACAGTGTGGGTGACACGGGGTCCTTCTGGCACCCTATTCCGCAGCCTCACACAGAGGTGAAGGGAGAGAATCTGCCTGGAGCTACGAGGCTGCTCCCCACCCCTGCGAGCTGCAGGCCTGACGCGGCCCTCACCAGCTCTTCACCTCTGCCTGGCACACAGCAAAGGGCAGATGGGAGGCTCCCTCCACTCAAAGATGGGGCAAGGAGGGGCTTCCCTCCCAAGAAAACCAGAACCGCTCCCACAGGGCCCTCCTCTCTCACTGTGGGTTTTGAGGACGGTATCAGGGAAGGCGGCTCTGTGTCCCTTCACACCCTCACCTGCACACAGGCCCAGACACCTGCAGACTAGCCCCACCCACCTGCACGCACTCGCCTATCAGACACCTGCAGACACACACGCCTGCCCTACACGCCAGGCCTTGGCAACACAGGGGCCCACCTGGAGATAGGCAGGGGCGAGGAAGCCAGGCAAGGCCCCGAGACATCCTCCCAGGAGGGGAAAGGAGGCCCCTTTGGGGCCTCAGCACCCAGCCCAGGCGGCAAGGTCCCCAGAGACTGGGGCTGACAGGAGAGAACACCCTGCTCCCTCTCCCTACGGCCGTCCCCAGAATTAAGAAAGGCAAGAACGGGACCCCAGCTGTGCTTCCTGGGGAGCTCTGCACCCACCGCAGGTCTGCGTGGGCAGGAGGGCAAATCACAGTGTGAGAAGAAATGCCTGGGGGGTGGGGCGCGCTCCAGAGCTGGGACTCCACTGGGCTGTCCTGGACCCAGGAGGGTGGGAGACCCCCGGAGGTCCAGCAGCCCTTGCTGAGAGGGAGGGAGAGAGGGGGGTCGAGCCCCTCCACTGATCCCTATGCAACAGCAGAGGCCCCATCCCCAGCCTGGGGACAGAGGGGTGGATCCCATACTCTGGGGGCCCTGGGAGTCTGGGGCTCACCACAGCTCTGGAATGTGTGGGTGTGTGAGGGGTTGGGCAGGAGGACGTGTGAGGGGGAACAGAGAGGCAGGTGAGAAGGGGAGCCATCAGGCCTCCCAGCCCAGTCCAGCCCCACCCCGAAGGCCTCTCCCTCCCCAGAGGCCCACACCTGTTCCATCCAGAGAGAAAACCAAGAAGTTGGTCAAGGGAAAAACCTGCCGGAGGAAGGAGATCGCGGCAGTGGCAGAAGAAGGCTTCAGTTGGCAAAAGAAGCTGGAGGAGAGGTGGGAATCACAAGCAGTGGCAGATTTTTAAAAACAGAGACACTGAAGGGTGGACGGGCCGCGCCCAGGACGGATGCGATGCCGTGGAATGCGCTGAAGATGAGTGGGGCCCACGGGGTTCAGATGGCCTCCACGTAGTTGGCTGGCAGCATCCCCGTGTCGCCGGTGCGCTCCACCGTGCCGTACATCCAGCCGTCATCGATCTGCTGCACGTTGATGATGGTGTCTCCATCCTGGAAGGAGACCTCATCCTCGTCCGCGGCGCTGTAGTCGTACACTGCGCGGTACCGCTTCTGTAGGGGGAGTGCAGTCAGCCAGGCCAGACGCGGCCTCGCCTGGGGCTGAGCATTTCTTCCTAACTCTCCAGGGTCCTGGAGCAGAGCCCGAGGGAGCAGTGAACCCCGGGATGGGGCTCCAGGCTCTGCCATGGAGCTTCTCACCTGTGCCTCACTTTCAGAGGGTAATCGGTCTTTCATAACGCACCTGGCTTCAGCTGAGGGTCAGACGCAGGGCAGGGACTAAAGTCACAAGGCGGGGTAGTGTCTAAGAATATGACATGCCCTATATGCCACTATTTGTATTATTATAAGCACCAGTGTTTTCTTTTTTAAAGACAGGGTCTTGCTGTGTTGCCCAGGCAGGATACCATGGAATAATCACAGCTCACCGCAGCCTCAAATTCCTAGGCTCCAGCAATCCTGCTACCTCTGCCTCCCAAGTAGGTGGGACTACAGGCATGCACCACCATCCCTGGCTGATTTTTTCTTTTTTTTGAGTTGGGGTCTCACTCAGTTGCCCAGACTGAAGTGCAGTGGCCACTCCTGGCCACTGCAGCCTCGCCTGCTAGCCTCCGGCAATCCTTCCGCCTCAGCCTTCCG